TGCAAAAAAAGAATATCACCTTTATAATTAAAATTTTTTTAAACCTATTTTGCTACATCGTTCGGTCATAAAATAACAATGATTGATTGCATTTCAATAGATACGAATGTTCTTGGCAGCCAATTAATTGTTTACTCTTTAGCAAATAAGGGTTTTTATTCCCAGATAAAAAAGTTTTGGAAAATAAGAAAAATATATTTTTTACTATGATTTTAATATAAATTTTTTGCCATCCTGATAATTGACTCCGATTTTTTTCGAATATCACAAAAATAATGAGAATTTTGAAACGACTCTACTGATCCACATGAAACTTTACAACTTTTTTTTGTAGTTTTCGTCCATATTTTTTTGACTTTTAATGACACCATATCTTGTACATTGTTAACAGGAAACCAGCGTAATATCTGGATAAATTCCAAATAAGTTATGAATTTTTGCGTACGGAACACCGAACATCGATAAAAACAATCGCCCTGATTTATACTACCCAAAAATGTCTATTTTTTTGGTTTGCAATAAAAATTTGTATTTGATAGGTTTAAAAGGTGATTAAATTGAATCCAAATTATTTATTTCAAAAACATTGTTTTCTATATTTAACCGTAGGGTGTTTTAGATTATGTAACTATTTATATAGCTAAACTCGATTAACACAATCCTTTACATTATTTAATTAAAAATAGACCGATATATAAAATGTAGAAATATTATTATTATTAAATATAATAACATGATCTCCGGGCACTGTCTTTAATGCATTCTGAAATTTGATATCAGAGGATTGAGATCAAAATGATCAGTAATGATCAATTCCTCGTCCATAAATACGCAGATAACACGGTGAAATGCATTTAATCTAGTTTGTACCAAAATATAGTAGGTTATATAGTAAATTGTAACCCGATTTCGATTTAAAGTATATTATTCCTATACCAGTTTTCGGTACAAATTTGTAGTTTAGTATATATTATTAATTTTCATTTTGTTATATTATCCTCCGACTCTTCACAATATACTATAGATGAAGGGTATTTGTAAACAAAATGATGTTGATGTTATTTTTTGGTCGTTTCGAGCTATTCGCCCGTCATTACCATCCCAAATATGATAATTTCTGAGTAATTATATAGATAATCCTGCATAATTCCCCCAAGAATCAACGGACATTTCTTCCAGTCAATTTTTAATTAAGGCATCGTCCAACCAAGTAGAAGTGAGTTCCCATTGAACAATTTAATTTAGATCCTAATGAATATTATTTCGAAATTTGTAGTTTCAAGCAATTTGCCCAATGCGATGAGTCAAATTTGCACGTTTTCCACAAACTTAATTGCCAATAGGATTATAGTAAAATAATAGAAGAAATCATTCGTCGTTAAGGCATTTTGAAACATGTCAACAAAATTCCTTAATTGTGAATGTAATTACTTAATTAATTAATTAATTTTCTCGTTTTTAGAAATTAATTGTAGAACACTCAATAACAACTTTCTCAAATATGTAATTTTTCGTTACATAAAACTAATAAAATAAATTAACAATTTCTAAATTATATAAAAATATTCTTTGAAAGCATTTATAAAACATAAAAGTACAATTAATATCTCAATAGTTTGCTAGACAGTTAATTATGATAATAATAATGACAATTAAGGTTTTTAGTTGAGATGAAAAAAAGTTTATGGCACGAGAGGGATTCGAACCCACGACCTTCGGCTAGATACGCCGCTGCTCTACTACCTGAGCTATCGTGACCTCATCACGATCGTCACGATAGCTCAGGTGGTAGAGCAGCGGCGTATCTAGCCGAAGGTCGAGGGTTCGAATCCCTCTCGTGTCATAAACTTTTTTTCATCTCAACTAAAAACCTTAATTAATTGTCATGTATTAATTGGTCAAGCGGACCACGAAAGTAGAGAGATAATAATAATGTTATGTTAAATATCCTTATCGTATATAATTATTTTTCTGAACTATTTGTTGAAAATAAATCTACAAATTTTTGTCTGACCTCTGCCTTCGACATCTATGCATTTACAGTTGTGTTTATTAGTAGTATATTTTGTATGATTAACAAACAAATAACAAGCAATATTTTCACAATACGTACATTTTCTACGTTTTCCCCATCAAATATTCATCATTGCTGATAGAATTGCTTTTTATATATATTTAATCAAATTATAAAAATCCTCAAATGTCTATCAAACCATTTACATTTTAGATAAGACTTATTTTAAAATTAATTTCAATGCTAGCATATAAATCCTTTTCCTTCAGTAATTAGTTACAATTAAATTCCACTAACATTTTCCCTAACATTTTCCCAGAACATTGGTTTGGCTTTTACTCTCTCTCTAGTTTACAGTCAAGCGTTTCGCATTGAAGACCGCATTTCATCCCCCAAAAGAATATTGCATAGGATCCTCTCTTAACTTAGCACATGTCCTACAAAAATTAAATGTGTCCTCAAATTAACTACCAGAGCGGTTCTTTAGGATCCGTCAAAGATTCGATTATTCTGACTACTTATCTGTGGACGCGTAAGTACTGCAGGGCAGCGTGCTTGGACCAATTCTGTATATACTTCATACCACAAATGTCTCTTCTACATCTACCTCGAACGCCTGCTTTCGTTGCACTCTATGACCTCAATCCTAGAGTTGCTTTGAAAGATTTGTAAGGACATGTCTATTGTAAAGCAAACTGGAATGGGGAATGAAGAGCAATGAAAGCAAATTCGTCCATGCCTTATTTACACTACGAAGCAAATCTCATTTCACAATCTACTATAAAATGTAAAGATAGATTCCAAAATCTGACTTTGTTTGTTATTTTGGTTCCACATAAACTGCTCTTAAGCAGAAATGGACCTAGATCAGAATGATGTTCAAGTTATGAAGTTAAGTGCAATGGGACAATAATATTGGTTATTTACTCCCATCGATGCAACCACGTAAATATACAAATAGTTTTAAACTATGCCTATGTAAGCTCTAATTACATAACGTAATTATTAATAGCTGATTCTAATAAAATATTAATGAAAAATACATAGATACAAAGATACAATAACAAGTCATAAAAGGTAATTTCGAACGTCCCTGTTTACAGCTAATAATTAGCTATAATTTATATATTAAATATTTTTTAGATAATCGAAGTATTGAATTCATCTTTAATTTTAGGCATAAATGTATAAAACAATAAAAATTAAAATAAAATGATATTGTGATATACTTAAGTTTATCACTTGTTTTTACAATTGTTTTAGGAATTACCTAATTTTCATTATTGAAATTAGAATATTTATAAACTAACTTTTCGAACAGTTAATTTTTTTGTTTAATTTTCTGATAAACTTGTACTGTTTTCTTATGAATTTCTTACTGTGTATATATGTTTTATCCATATATAATGCATATGTTTATTGATACATTATTAATTTTGTCTATTGTAACAATAATATAATGTTAAAAAAATGTAAATTAACAGTCATTGTGACAGAACCCACAATCAATGTCCTTTCCAATCAATAGTGATTTAAAGAAACTAATTAAAATACCTTAATTTTCTAATTATGTAATTTTAGAGACGCAATAACACGCCAAGAACCGTAACTTGGATTGTCAAGGTTCTAGTAGCGTTTAACGACTTAATGATGCATTAAACAAAAAAGAAATTATACATAACGTTTCTACTTTTGTGCTATTTCCTAGTGTTTTTTAATATTTTCGTACGTTTTTGATTTCTTTTCAATTGTTAAACATGTATAAGAATGATATTAATATAGAAAAACTTTTTAAATGGGCCCATGTGTTTTTATTTATAAGAAATGTATTATCTTCCGTTGTTTTAAACTCATTTTGTTCTGTTTTGTATTTTGTTTCTGTTCATTTCTTTGTGGAATATTTTGTTTAAAGTATTCGTTATAGTTTTGACCTCTGCTTGAAGTGATTTAGCTCACAAAATTATTTTACCATTTGAAACATTGTAATGTTGTGTCCTTTTGTGCTAAATCCAATTTCAAATGGACAACGTGTAATTTTAAATCGACAGTTGTGTATGGAATCGATGCCCATAATCTCATCCATGATAACTACATTGTGGGTATGTCTTTTAGGCAGACAAAGACCCTTGGGAGATAATAGATTCGTCCTCCTTAGTCTTGGAGAATGGACTGTTACATTATTCAACTCTTTGCTTTTTTTTTTTTTACTTAAGTATTTTTTATTAAAGTTTTTTCTTAAATTTATCCTTATTTGNCTTAATTTTCTTTTAGTAGCTACGGTTTTTATCTCAATATAAGTTATATCAGCTTTCAATTTAGAATAATATATTGAACAGGACTAAGTACAATTGAAAGAAGAGATAACCCTTCTGTTTTTTTCGTCAAGCCCTCAAAAAATATGACATCTTCATTACGATTTCGGAATTATTAATAATAATTTGCATTGCTTACAAATAAGAACATGTATTTGCAAACTAACTCATGGTTTTGAATAAAGTATATATGCGAAATCAGTTCATATTCATCTTGTAAATTATTATTAATACTTTCAAAGTTTTGATGAAAGGGGGAATCCTTCCTATAGCTCGATAGGCTCTTTGTTTTAAGTAGTAAATCTTGTAATTTATTGTTAGTATTCATTACATTAATAGTCAGATGAAGAATAATTTATTAAATAATTTTGTTCGTGTGCAGTTAGTTTTGAAATTGTATATTTACAATTGAAAATAAATAGTTAATGGCTAAGCCAATAGGCCAGTATATTTATATGCCATGAGTTCTGAAGGATAAACATCGAAGTTCGTTAGCAAACACTTTCTTACGAGACATGTCAATGCTGGGTCTTAAATATGGAAAGTAGGCGTCAGACTGATCATGAACCAGTTAATCAATCCCGGTGTAAGCGACTGATAGGACAACGGTAGAGGGAGGATCTTTGGAAGGGCCGTATTAGGTGGAAGTGGGGCTGATCAGCCAAGGCCCCCACCGATGTATATATACACACTGCGGATCAGAGGAGATCATTGCAGTCTGAAGAACAGCAAGAAACCACCTTCAAACATGTACAAATTGGTGAGTCTCTCCTTTTGAGTTCTGAAACGGCGAAAAGCTTTATAATTTTTAATTGTTGGGCATTGTAATTCGTGAAGACAAACCCCGAGAATATTTCCTTCAGCTTTTCTTAATGCTCTTTTATCACACGATTTATTTTTTAAACCCTCCCATTAAATTAGTCATAGAAATCATTTAACTTTTAAATACCTCAATCAGCCAAATATCATTTTTTAATATGGATATTAAATGGTGTAAAACGTGTTTTTTAATTTTTGGAGCCTTTGTTCGGTGTGTTTCCAAATGCCTATAATTCGTGTTGCTAAGGGTAGAACCTTATATAAGGTCATTATTGATTGCTTGTAGCATTTGCTTTTCTAGGTTAATCTCTATCGCAAATAATACTAAAACATCTACCTGGAACATACATAGCAAATACCGCTTATTGCCACTAAAATAATCCGTAATTTAAACAAAAATCTTTTGTTAAAGTTTTATGTATGATTCAATTTTTTTATTGATTTTAAAATGTGTTTCTAATAGAAATAAAGTATTTCAACTGAATATGGTAATGCAAAATTAGAAATACTCAATTTTTCCATTGCATTCAAACCAAATCAATCATCATAAACAGTTTTATATTAAACAAAAAAATGCACACGGCTGATTTTTACAATTTCTTTGACGAAAATAACATTTTCATTATTTGAATATACAATTTCAAAATAAAAGTGTTTTTCCTATATCTTTTTATATTTAAATTCCCTAATATAATAATAAAGGATAAATGTAATAATAGACCAAATTTAGGATTTTTGCTTGTTATTATGCAAGCACAAAAAATTTATTTTCATTAAATTGCAGGTCGTCCTCTCCGCCCTCTTGGCCATCGCTTACGCCGCCCCCGGCTATGTCGCCCCCGTGGTCCCAGTCGCCACCTCTCACCACTCCGTCGTGAAGACCTCCGTCGTACACCCCGTACCGGTCGTACACGCTGCCCCCGTCGTACACGCTGCTCCCCTTGTACACACCGTCCCCGTCGTCAAGACCGTCCACACCCCCGTCGTACACACCGTCCCCGTCGTCAAGACCGTCCACACCCCTGTCGTACACACCGTCCACGCCGCTCCAGTCGTCCCAGTCGTCAAGACCTTCCACCACCCGGCTGTCCTCGTCCACTAAATTGTTACCGATTTAACGAAAATACAATGACCCACCTTGATTCTTCCGTAATTTAAAAATACAAATAAAATATTCTTTTGTATAAAACAAAATTGTTATTTTTGATATTTAATCCTGCATTCTGTTTAAAACGAATTAAGGTAAGTAAAAACAAACTACAAAATAAAATTTGAAATTACATTGCCAAGCGATTTAATTTATTTATATAAAAGTGATTCGTAAGTGTGTTCATGATAAAAATGAAAACTACTGAACCGATTTCGGTGAAAATTTCACATTGTTTGTTTTAGTGCCGGGCGGGTTTAGAGAATATAAAATGGGCATATAAATAAAGGGCATCAGGATTTAAAAAAGAGATTCCTGGAATTTGTGGCGTCCATTTTCACAGCTGTCTGCTGTCCCGGTATAATATACGTTTCCCACGTCTTCCAAATTCGATTTGGAGGCGCCAATAGACAATAGATGCAAAAACTACGCTTACGCTCTATAGTCGCAAAAATACAGAATCGGTTATAGTTGCAAAACTACTGATATAATATAGTCGCAAAAACTACAGCACTGGTTTCGCTGATGTAAAGATAGGAAGAACTTCACCGATGTATCTTTACTATAGGCAGCATTGGTGTAGCCGTGTAGGTAGGAAAACGAAATACAGACATGTGGCATGAGCGAGGACCATTCCACTGAGCCAAACTATCCGAATTTAGTAAAGTGCTCCAAGTGGACCTTTATTTAGTGTACAAAGATAAAGACTACAAAAACCGATTTTGTTTTACAGGTATGAATACATACACAATTATAAATTTTGTAACATATTATTAAATATTGTTTTACAGAACTCGATCAATTTAAATTAAATGAGATACGTAGTAGTTTGACAATTGGATTTATTAACATTCTGAATTGTATAAAATGTGAGATCCGTAATGTTCTGATTTTAGTGTTTTGTACTTAAATGAGATGATTTTGCTATATTATGAATTATGTTTAATTTTACATTCTGTCTTTTTGACACTGCTATTATAGAATTGCTGTTGAAATTGCATTTGTTGTTGTTTAAAATGCCACAAAAACGGCAAAATATAGGTCGTCGCAAAAATATCGCCAAGAGAATCTCAGATAAAAGACAAAATGAAACAGAAGAAGAAAGAGAAAAACGAAATTAACAAAATATATTTCATATGTCGCACTCACGTGCTAGTAAATCCTCACAACATCACGAAGCAAGAAATGAAGCAAGTCGAGTAAGGATTAGAGAATTAAGACAATATTTGCCCTATTTTGAGCAAAAGCTGCCTGTTATTACAATTCATTAAAAATGAATAAATAAAAAATGAACAGCGTGACAATAGTCGATTACGCCCTAACAATCCCTAACCATTGCTTTGTTTAAAATACCACCAAAACGATCACATATTAATCATAATATTAATATTCTTACCAAAATTTAAAGGAGAGGATGTGCTGATTCAACATACACAAATGATACGAACAGAAGTGCATTTGCAATTCAAATTATTGCAATTTCCAATTAAACTGGTTTTTGCGTTTATGATAAACAAATCACAAGTTCTATCATTGCTATTATGTGGAATGAATTTGAAGAATTCATGGTTTTTGCATGTATAATTATACGTTACATGCTCCAGGATGGGGGACTTGTTGTTTGCATATATGGCAAATAGAATCACCAACAACATTGTATATATATTCAAGAATATTGCATGAATTTAACGCTGAATACAACGCATTCAGGGTGGAAGTGAAATAAATCATCATCAGAAAGCACATATCAGAAGGTCTTCCATCTAGGGAGGGTAATTTAATTAGCTCGTATTACTCGCACTCTATCAATCTATCGCAAATCTATCAGGTTCAAATCCCGATTAAAATGTTTAAAAAGTTGGCAAAAGTCATATAAAATCATATAGTTTAAAATGTCCTTCATAGACATATTTTTGATTGGCAACACTGTATTATATAGTTACTAAGCTTTCGTGTCTATATTTGGCTTTTCTCAGGGCACAAATCCTAGTCTTATGCTATTGAACAAACCCATATCCAATGCTGCTTTGTTGTTATGGAACAACATTGGTTATTTGTACTCTGTTTTGAGATTTTTGGTATTTGGTCGTTCAATTAACCCAACACTGTATTAAAAGTAGCGAAGCTCTGAGTGCTGTATTTGGCCTTTATGTGAGAACAAATTCTCACCGTATATCGTTGTACAAAGCCATGTCTAGTGTTGACCCTGCAATTTAAGAAGTTATCTCGTTATCAAGCATCTTTGGTTATTTGAACTCAGTTTTGAGAGTTTTCAGTATTAGAAATTTTTTAAAAAACTTATAGGTAACAAGTTTTTTAGAAAAACTTTAATTAACCTAACACTGTATTATACGATTCCCAAGATCTGTTCTATATTCGGCCTACCCGAGGGCAGAAAACCTCGTCTTATGTCGTTGTAGAAAGGCAACTGTATACGATAGTGTTGGATAAATTAAAGGACAAAATACCCAATAATCGAAAAGCATAGTGTAACCTATGTTGGTCGAAAACAGAATAACATCGTAAAACATATTTTACATGGTTTTCTCCGTCTGTTCGAGTCAAGTTACTTTTTTTATAGTAAACAGTAGGGTCAGTAATCAAACAAAAAGATTCAATGAAACAATTGCTTATATGCCAGAAACATAGATTCAAAAAATGCGAAATCATTGCCAAGGAATTAGATTAATAATTATTTGTTGAAAGTAAAAATGTCGTTGTGGGAAGGCAACTATATAACACTATGTTCAATTAATTGCAGGACCCAATACACACAATAATCGAAAGCTAGTGTATAACCAAAGTTGGTCGATAATAGAAAAACCTCGCAAAGTTTATGTGACATGGTTTCTACCATATGTCTGTGTTAGATTGCTCTTTTTTTATAGTAAACAGTACAGTCAGTAATCTAATAAAAATGTTCATAAAATATTGCTTACATGCCAAAAACATAGATTCAAAGAATACAAAATATTAATAATTCTTGCTAAATTCTTTAACGAAAATATATATATATATATTTTAAATACAATTAAATAAACACGTACAAGACAAAGACAGAGAGCCAAGTGTAAAACCATATTCACAATTTGGATAGCGTGGTGGTCAATAGGTTAGAGCAATAAACTATTTTCCACTTGGTTCTGGGTTTGAATCCCGGCATCCCCTTTGTCTTTTTCATTGAAAATTTTATTAAAAAAGAATTGTAAAATGGGGCAGCATATCATCCCTCGTCCAAGACACCCAACGGGTAGTTAAAGTAATGTACACGTTGTATTTTTGATTGACAAATACTGATCAACAACAATCACAAAAGCATATCTCCGTTTTAATCTAAAAGCTAAAAATACACATAGGTTCGGAATTGTGAAAGCTTTTAGTAGTAAACACCTATTACCGAGTTGTAAACCCCCCCAATGAAATCGTACACAGTATTTTCAGTAAGTTTTTTTAATAGATTTGATTAGTTTTGTTTGGGAGAAGGGTAAAATGAGTAAGAATTTGTTAAAAAAGGTTTAAATTAAATTTTTGTTCAACAATGATATAATAGGATTAGGTTGATCAGAAAAGATTAAACAGTCTGGAAAAATATTATTGTTCAGGGTAAATTAGTCGTTTCACCTTGAAAATAAGAAAAAGTGGTCTTTTAGAAAATGATTTTATAATGAGAGGAGAATTTTTAAATGTTTCAAATAGATATAAAATAACTTTTGCTTATAGTTTTATTTCATAAACTCACAATAGATATAGTTGTACGATACCATGTTCAATAACAAACAGTGCTATATTTATATTAATAACTTTTTGTTCATAGACTTTACCAAAGTTTATAATTTTGGTCACAAAGTACTGACAAAAACTAAGATTATTAATAAACATGGATAGAGTAATGTTGAAAATAAAATTTGACGATATACTCGATCATGCCGTTAAGACCTAATAGAAGAACGGTTACAGAAATTAGGCCTATTAGTCCTAAAGTGCCTATTCTTATAAAATAATGAGTTCGGTACAGGCTGACCGAGGTACTGGCCAAGATTCCATTAACCCTTTAATCACCTGCTCGTACCGGCCATTCAAGCTCATTGCTTGTATAAACGATATGAATACATAAATAGTATTTGTTCGATTGACTTCGATTGTTCGATCAACACAACAAATTTGGACAAACATGACAGTAGCCAGTTTGCCTTTAAAAAGTAAACAAGTTTAAAATTTAGTTAATCAAAAAATACAATCTTCTGAAAAAATAAGTATCAACATTAAATTTCGTTGAGTAGAGGAAGAGGAGTTAAAAAAAGATCTTTTTTCTAAATAATATATTACAATTAATTAAGGTTTTTAGTCGAGATAAAAAAGTCAGTGGCACGAGCGGGATTCGAACCCACGATCTTCGGCTAGATACGCCGCTGCTCTACCACTTGAGCTATCGTTACCTCGATCCGCTCGGACATTAACTTCCTATCTCAACCGCACCTTTTGAATTTTCCCTCCTTTTTGCCATTTTTCAAATGTAGTGTAATCGGATTGGATTCTCGGCGACAAACGAAATGGCCACGGAGAGCTTTAGTGAATTATACTTTATTTAATTCATTAAATTCACTAATTTCGTGGTCCGCTTGACCAATTAATATATTACAATTAATTAAGGTTTTTAGTCGAGATAAAAAGCGTATCTAGCCGAAGATCGTGGTTCGAATCCCGCTCGTGCCAATGACTTTTTTATGTCGACTAAAAACCATAATTAAAAGTAATATATTAATTGGTCAAGTGGACCACGAAGTTAGTGAATTTTCTAAATAATTTTCAATATAATTCACATTTCATCATTCAAATTGTTTCTTAAATGTGAGTTTTTAAATTATGCCAGATTATGTATGAAACCCGTCTGAAACTCTTGTAATAAAATTAAAATTTAACCCACATCAACCCAGCATTATTGAAAAAAAGCTTAATAATAAAAAAAAGCTTAATAATAGAGTTTTTTTGACGACTAATTTAATAATTTGATACAAAGTTTTGTTCTGTTTATTCGCCAAATTTGCGA